AAATGGGTCATGCTGGGAAATGGGTGATGATGGGAAATGGGTGATGATGGGAAATGGGTGATGCTGGGAAATGGGTGATGCTGGGAAATGGGTGATGCTGGGAAATGGGTGATGCTGGGAAATGGGTGATGCTGGGAAATGGGTGATGCTGGGAAATGGGTGATGCTGGGAAATGGGTGATCCGGGGAAATGGGTGATGCTGGGAAATGGGTGATGCTGGGAAATGGGTGATGCTGGGAAATGGGTGATGCTGGGAAATGGGTGATGCTGGGAAATGGGTGATGCTGGGAAATGGGTGATGCTGGGAAATGGGTGATGCTGGGAAATGGGTGATGCTGGGAAATGGGTGATGCTGGGAAATGGGTGATGCTGGGAAATGGGTGATGCTGGGAAATGGGTGATGCTGGGAAATGGGTGATGCTGGGAAATGGGTGATGCTGGGAAATGGGTGATGCTGGGAAATGGGTGATGCTGGGAAATGGGTGATCCGGGGAAATGGGTGATGCTGGGAAATGGGTGATGCTGGGAAATGGGTGATGCTGGGAAATGGGTGATGCTGGGAAATGGGTGATGCTGGGAAATGGGTGATGCTGGGAAATGGGTGATGCTGGGAAATGGGTGATGCTGGGAAATGGGTGATGCTGGGAAATGGGTGATGCTGGGAAATGGGTGATGCTGGGAAATGGGTGATGCTGGGAAATGGGTGATGCTGGGAAATGGGTGATGCTGGGAAATGGGTGATGCTGGGAAATGGGTGATGCTGGGAAATGGGTGATGCTGGGAAATGGGTGATGCTGGGAAATGGGTGATGCTGGGAAATGGGTGATGCTGGGAAATGGGTGATGCTGGGAAATGGGTGATGCTGGGAAATGGGTGATGCTGGGAAATGGGTGATGCTGGGAAATGGGTGATGCTGGGAAATGGGTGATGCTGGGAAATGGGTGATGCTGGGAAATGGGTGATGCTGGGAAATGGGTGATGCTGGGAAATGGGTGATGCTGGGAAATGGGTGATTCGGGGAAATGGGTGATGCTGGGAAATGGGTGATGCTGGGAAATGGGTGATGCTGGGAAATGGGTGATGCTGGGAAATGGGTGATGCTGGGAAATGGGTGATGCTGGGAAATGGGTGATGCTGGGAAATGGGTGATGCTGGGAAATGGGTGATGCTGGGAAATGGGTGATGCTGGGAAATGGGTGATGCTGGGAAATGGGTGATGCTGGGAAATGGGTGATGCTGGGAAATGGGTGATGCTGGGAAATGGGTGATGCTGGGAAATGGGTGATGCTGGGAAATGGGTGATGCTGGGAAATGGGTGATGCTGGGAAATGGGTGATGCTGGGAAATGGGTGATGCTGGGAAATGGGTGATGCTGGGAAATGGGTGATGCTGGGAAATGGGTGATGCTGGGAAATGGGTGATGCTGGGAAATGGGTGATGCTGGGAAATGGGTGATGCTGGGAAATGGGTGATGCTGGGAAATGGGTGATGCTGGGAAATGGGTGATGCTGGGAAATGGGTGATGCTGGGAAATGGGTGATGCTGGGAAATGGGTGATCCGGGGAAATGGGTGATGCTGGGAAATGGGTGATGCTGGGAAATGGGTGATGCTGGGAAATGGGTGATGCTGGGAAATGGGTGATGCTGGGAAATGGGTGATGCTGGGAAATGGGTGATGCTGGGAAATGGGTGATGCTGGGAAATGGGTGATGCTGGGAAATGGGTGATGCTGGGAAATGGGTGATGCTGGGAAATGGGTGATGCTGGGAAATGGGTGATGCTGGGAAATGGGTGATGCTGGGAAATGGGTGATGCTGGGTAATGAGTGATGCTGGGAAATGGGTGATGCTGGGAAATGGGTGATGCTGGGAAATGGGTGATGCTGGGAAATGGGTGATGCTGGGAAATGGGTGATGCTGGGAAATGGGTGATGCTGGGAAATGGGTGATGCTGGGAAATGGGTGATGCTGGGAAATGGGTGATGCTGGGAAATGGGTGATCCGGGGAAATGGGTGAAGCTGGGAAATGGGTGATGCTGGGAAATGGGTGATGCTGGGAAATGGGTGATGCTGGGAAATGGGTGATGCTGGGAAATGGGTGATGCTGGGAAATGGGTGATGCTGGGAAATGGGTGATGCTGGGAAATGGGTGATGCTGGGAAATGGGTGATGCTGGGAAATGGGTGATGCTGGGAAATGGGTGATGCTGGGAAATGGGTGATGCTGGGAAATGGGTGATGCTGGGAAATGGGTGATGCTGGGAAATGGGTGATGCTGGGAAATGGGTGATGCTGGGAAATGGGTGATGCTGGGAAATGGGTGATGCTGGGAAATGGGTGATGCTGGGAAATGGGTGATGCTGGGAAATGGGTGATGCTGGGAAATGGGTGATGCTGGGAAATGGGTGATGCTGGGAAATGGGTGATGCTGGGAAATGGGTGATGCTGGGAAATGGGTGATGCTGGGAAATGGGTGATGCTGGGAAATGGGTGATGCTGGGAAATGGGTGATGCTGGGAAATGGGTGATGCTGGGAAATGGGTGATGCTGGGAAATGGGTGATGCTGGGAAATGGGTGATGCTGGGAAATGGGTGATGCTGGGAAATGGGTGATGCTGGGAAATGGGTGATGCTGGGAAATGGGTGATGCTGGGAAATGGGTGATGCTGGGAAATGGGTGATGCTGGGAAATGGGTGATGCTGGGAAATGGGTGATGCTGGGAAATGGGTGATGCTGGGAAATGGGTGATGCTGGGAAATGGGTGATGCTGGGAAATGGGTGATGCTGGGAAATGGGTGATGCTGGGAAATGGGTGATGCTGGGAAATGGGTGATGCTGGGAAATGGGTGATGCTGGGAAATGGGTGATGCTGGGAAATGGGTGATGCTGGGAAATGGGTGATGCTGGGAAATGGGTGATGCTGGGAAATGGGTGATGCTGGGAAATGGGTGATGCTGGGAAATGGGTGATGCTGGGAAATGGGTGATGCTGGGAAATGGGTGATGCTGGGAAATGGGTGATGCTGGGAAATGGGTGATGCTGGGAAATGGGTGATGCTGGGAAATGGGTGATGCTGGGAAATGAGGATGCTGGGAACTGGGTGATGCTGGGAAATGGGTGATGCTGGGAAATGGGTGATGCTGGGAAATGGGTGATGCTGGGAAATGGGTGATGCTGGGAAATGGGTGATGCTGGGAAATGGGTGATGCTGGGAAATGGGTGATGCTGGGAAATGGGTGATGCTGGGAAATGGGTGATGCTGGGAAATGGGTGATGCTGGGAAATGGGTGATGCTGGGAAATGGGTGATGCTGGGAAATGGGTGATGCTGGGAAATGGGTGATGCTGGGAAATGGGTGATGCTGGGAAATGGGTGATGCTGGGAAATGGGTGATGCTGGGAAATGGGTGATGCTGGGAAATGGGTGATCCGGGGAAATGGGTGATGCTGGGAAATGGGTGATGCTGGGAAATGGGTGATGCTGGGAAATGGGTGATGCTGGGAAATGGGTGATGCTGGGAAATGGGTGATGCTGGGAAATGGGTGATGCTGGGAAATGGGTGATGCTGGGAAATGGGTGATGCTGGGAAATGGGTGATGCTGGGAAATGGGTGATGCTGGGAAATGGGTGATGCTGGGAAATGGGTGATCTTGGGAAATAGGGGATTATGGTAGCCTCAATGGGTTGAGGTTGGCCAAAGTTGATGCTGACTCGATGGGGTTTGATTGGCAGGTGGGAGAATTGAGCATGAAGATGACATGCACATGGGCATTGGCATGTGCATGTGCATGGGCATGGGGATGGGCATATGCATGGGGGCATGGGCATGGGCATGGGCGTGCATAATCATTTGAATTTGAGTTTTAGAATGCATACACGCCATTGTGATATGGTTGACAAAGTGGATTCACAAGCAATCCTTCAGCCACTTCTATATTATAACTTACACGGTATTACCCATCACATCACCATCGACCCTCCTCCTTGCCATCCCCCCCCCCCTCCCTTCTCCCCGTATAGTGCTTACGTCCCACCACTGTAGGTTGGAAGGAGCATGAGCTCTCAGCACGGTAACAATCGCATGAGGATCAAACCCACGTGAGCCGATCGCCTATGTGACATGAAGGATAGAGTGTTATTATCGGCCTGCTCCTCCATGCGACAATGGCTCTCTTGCATCTCGCAAGCACCTTCCTGCCTCCACACATGCACACTTGCCCCTTTTAGCTTCACCTACGATTATAGGCATTGCGTGATTTCTACCGTATTCCACCCCCAAGCCTCCCTCCCGTTATACATGCATCATCGAGCACCGAGCTCCGTACTCTCATCTCGTTCTTCTGAGCTGCCGCTTCTTGAAACTAGGTAGAGTTTCCTAACTCATGTTTCTTGCTACAAATTTGACAAGATGGGGTAGAACTGAAATTTAGGCACTTTCGAGTAGATGAAGGGACGATTTGTACAGGCCATTGCCTGTAACATTCTCGTATGTGTTATGAAATTTACACTCTAAGCTAGTGGTCTCAAATGTTACCGGTAGTGATGCAAAACTGTACTATTGCTAGGTACAGTATCCTACCGTATAATGAACCAGCCAGTACTCGTCAGTATCCGCGCTGACTGACGCGTTGAAACACGTCGCCGATTTTCAACTTTGTCGGTACCTTCACGTGTTCAGGCCTCAACCAGTCTCTGGTTTTTCCCGAACCTCTCCAGCTAACCTACCAGACCACGGTTTAGCGAAAATCCAAACCTGGAATCAGCTTTCAGAGCGTTGACTCGCGTCCCCTGTCGTCCACCACGCCACAACCAACTCCTCCCCTCACTTACAAAAGCCAATTCTCTCTCACATAATCACTCACTCACCAACAGCTTCGACCACACCCTCGACTTCAGTCACCCAAGCTCCACCTTCCAATCATCACGTCAATCGCAGCTGCTAGGTTAGCCAGAAGCAAACGTTAGCCACTTCGTCGATAGAAGCACGATACAGTACCAGCCATGGCAGTCAGAGCGCTCATCCTCGCGTGCGTGCTCCTCCTCGTGTCGACGTCCGCCTTGGCTCAGCGTGGTCCGCCTGGCGGAGGTCCTCCCGGCGGTAAGCGATCGGGGGGCGCAAGCGGAGGCCCTGGCGACGGTCCCGGCAGTCGCGACGGTCCCGGCGGGCCTGGCGGACCGCGCGGTCCTCCTTTGAACCTGACGTCTGTCGGGAATCTGACGGCCGATGTTGGCGCGCGACTCGCCAACTGCACCGCTGATCAGACGATCCTTGACGGCCGCTTCCACCTCGCCGTCTTCAAGTAAGACTCGATGCCTCCCCGTCTGTCGCATAGAATCGCCAAAAAACCCTAATCTGTTGTACGCTTCCCTACCGTTTCCAGTCGCTAGAGTTTAGCACTACAATTGGCTTCCGCATGATTTTTTCAATTTATAAAATGTGCGGAACCTTCGGATCGTCGCGTGCCCATTGCGTGTTCCCCTCATCCTCAGTCCCCTCTTTCCCTCACCCGCCCCTTCATCTTCGCGCCCTGTCTCAGAAACTCAACCGGGAACTACAATCTGCTGGTCTCAGCGGTGCTGGTGGACGCGGCGGGCGGTCCGCCCGACTCGCTGGCGATCGTAAGGGCGCCGTGTGCGACGCCGCCGCGACGGACGTGCTCGCGTTGCCGCTCGCCGCGGCGGACTGGCAGCAGCGCGCGGGGTGGTGGCTGCTGCACGCGGAGGCGCGCCTCGACGCGTTCCTCGAGAACGCGGACGCCGCCACCCTCGACGCGCTGCTCGCCGTGCTCCCCACCGCCTCGCCTCCGCCCACCAGCGGCAGCGGCAGGCGCAACGGCGGAGGCAGCACCGCCGGCGGGGGCAGCGCGGGGGGCGCGCGGAACGGGCAGGGCGGGAGGCGCATGGGGCGGGAGCTGCTGATGCGCGCATTCGGGCGCGCGGCCAGGCAGGGGGGACAGAAGCAGGGGGGGCAGCAGCAGCAGGGGGGAGGGCAGCAGGCGCCTGCAGTGAGCGGGTATGCTGTGCTGGCGGGTAGCAGCGCAGCAGGTGTGACGTGGGGCGGGCAGCTCATGGGCGCCAAGACGCCCGCCGCTGCTGCTGCTTAATTTCTTACTACTGCTGATATGATCACAATGGGTCATGGCTTGATGCAGTCATGATAGACTTGCTCTGGGTCTCTGGTTCATGCTCTAGAATCTAATATAGGTCAAAGCATCAGGGGCAGGAATGCTGGCAAGGCATAAGGTGACACCACCAATTGACTTGCCAGTCTTCCTACCCGTGATCGTTCTTGTGATGTTACTGATTATATTTGGAGTTTATGGTACGTGTGAGTAGTTTCATGTTGGTGTTAGTGTCTTGCCAGAGATGTTTTGTTTTGGCATTCATCAGTCTGATCTGAAGTTTACAATATTCTCGAGCTGCAAATCGCACGCTGAATTGCTAGAGAAACGTGAATGACTATTTGTAAGCAAAATGGAATGAGATGTGCTCGTAGTGTACCGCATTAGCCGCAGTGACTAGACGTTCTTGGGGTCGCGTCGCGTTTCAAAGCCTGGAACTATCTTCGAAAGTAAAATGTTGGCTCTAACTTCGAAACCGTGTGCGCGGTCCTTCCGTTTTCGTCTCACGTGCCGGCGATTCCAGGCCTCGTTCAGAAGGCACGCAGCGTTCACGAAATAGAACATAGAACTTAGGACGTCAGCAGCAAATCACCCTACGCAGGTGCATGCAATCCGTACGTGCATGCAATCCGTACGTGCATGCAATCCGTACGTGCAATCCGATAGTAAGCGTAAATAGGTCTCCGTAATTCGATTCCAGCAATGGCAAAGATAAATTTGTAGGCATTGCTAGATTCTTCGTATGCTTGACCCGAGCCCGACAGTCCTGTTTGTGTAGCGGATCAGCTTGTAGCGGGGAACCTGTCGTCGAGTAGGTGACGCCACGGATGGCGCCAGTGTAATTCAGGCGGGAAGCGCGAATGTCGCGGAAGAGAATGAGGAGGGGGAACGGTTGTTGGCGGAGAGATGGCGGGCGGCGGAGGCTTCCGCGGGGAAGACTGGCGGAGGAGCCGGGAGAGGGGACGCGTTTAGCGGGGAAGAAACAGTATCGCGGATTATGTCATCAGTGCACAGCGGTGACATAACCAGCCGAGAGACGGATAGTCTTCTGGAGAAAGGAGCCCATAACGGGACGAGCAATAGCGAGTACGAGGACGGACAGGAGACTGTAATGGGGGAAAGGAGCGTTGCGCGGATAAGAGAAGGGGCACCGCCAGCAGTGGGCGCAGAGAAGGGCATGCCACGTGGCGTCGTGATATTGGTCGTCGCGTTCTTGGACCGGTTTGCTGTGGGCATGGCCATGCCGCTCGTGACGCCACTGATCAAGGAGCTAGGTACGCAGAATTATAAAGAGTTGACTTTCGCTCTTGTCAGAAGCTATGGATGTTTACTGCTAGAAGAGAACCATTGGAGAGAATGAATAAGGTACTTTTGCTCAATCTTTGTATTTGCTCAACCTCCCCCCTTGCCCCTCTTCCTTCCCCTCCCCTTGCCTCTCCCCCTACCCCTTCCCCTGTCCCTCCCCCCCCTCTTCCCCATGTTCCTTCCCCCTTCCGCTCCTCTCGGCCCATCACCTTGCCCCTTTCCCCTCCCCCTTTCCCCCACCCCTTTCCCCTACCCCTGCACCCCTGCCCTCCCCCCTGCTCCTCCCCCCCCCCCGGTACCTGATGTGCTTCCTCTGAACCTTCCTGTCCGCATTAGGAGCGTCTCCTCAACAGGTCGCTTCCTCTCGTCGGCATACGGTGCTGCACAACTCCTTACGGGGCCAACCTTTGTCTCACGGTGAGAGAAAGTAGAAGGGAAATGGGGGTGTGGAGGTGGGGGAGGAGAGGGGGAGGGTGATGATTACTTCTTCCTAGGTCAGAGCATTGGTGTAAATAACAGGAGGGGTGGGGTGTGGGTGAGTTGCCTGCTGCTCGAAGCAACTCAGTTTGCCCTGTGCTCGTGGCTAGGGCAGCACACATATGTAGCGGTGAGAGAAGCGTGATGCAGCGGATGATGAGGGTCGTATTAACTGCAACCAATAGCTCAGTAGTCGATTCGGCGGGTGGTGTTGGTTTGTTGGCTTGCCGTGATGGATTCAATCTTGATTCAACCTTCTGATTTTTTTTTTTTTTAACCAATGTTCTTTAACCTACTTGCTACTGCTAGGGCATACCATCTGTGTTACGGTGAGAGGAGGCCAAGGGCGAGCTCCTTGCTACTAGAGCACAACACCAATCGTAACAGTGAGAGAATAATGATGAAGCAGATTGCTTCTAGGAAGAAAGTGGAACCATTTGCTCCTGGGCTGCTTTCAAGGCAAAACGGATTTTCAACTCTCATTGTTTTGTGCATGCCTCACTCGCTGCATATACACACATGGCCTTTCCATCATGTACCCACTCTACCTCACATACTGGATTTTCCTTGACTCGTGCTCCTCCCCGACTGGGTTTCACACTGATACATTGCCTCCTTTCACGACTCTTTCTTGCATGTATGCATCGTTTCAGGTGGTTCGTTGGGGTTTGGCATGATGAATCCATCCTTTTCAAACCTTCAAACCTTTTCTAAGCCTCCTTGAAACTGCCTTCGAACCTCCTGCAAACCTCTTTAAGTCCTCCTTGCAATCCCCAACAACCTCCCTCACAACTTTTGAGGCGCCTGGAAAGTCTTTGAAATACCTAACAACCTCCCTCACAACTTTCTCTTTAGATGATAAAAGTGATGTTTTAGGTCCTCCTTGAAAAGTGAGGTCTTAAAACTTCCTCTTTGACCTCCTTGCCTTATCTACCCTTCCCTTCAGGTCGTGCTCATCCCATCCCTTTAGATGATGGCATCACTTAGCATCATCCGACTGAACTCGGTGAAGCACAGCATGAATGCAGTTAAGGCATATGTGGCCGATCACATCACCTCTCTGCCAGCCCCTTTCTTCCTCGTCTCGTCCCTTTCCTCCCTCCCCCTCCCTCCAGCCGGTTGTGATATCCCGTGTGCTTCTGGGAGTCACCAAGCACAGCATGAATTGATGGACTCAAGGCATATGCGGCCAACCACACCTGCCAACAGAGCATGGAGCCTGGCAGGGGAGGCACGCTGTGAGATGTTCCCACTCAGGAGCTAGCAAGGTGGGTGTGGATGGGCAATGATGATGCTGACTCGATAGGGCTGGATTGGCATGTGAGAGGCATGGGCATGGGCATGGGCATGGGCACGGGCATGGGCATGGGCATGGGCATGGGCATGGGCATGGGCATGGGCACGGGCATGGGCATGGGCATGGGCATGGGCATAGGCATGTGTATGGGCATGGCATGGTATGGGAATGGGAATAGGCATGGGCATGGGCATAGGCAGGGAAATGGGCATGGGCATGGCCATGGCATGAGCATGGGCATAGGCATGGGCATGGCATGGGCATGGCTTATGCATGGGCATGGGCATGGGCGTGGGCATGGGCATGGGCATGGGCATGGCATGGGCATGGCTATGGCCATGGCCATTGGCAGGAGCAGGGGCATGGGAATGGCATGGGCTGGGGCACGGCCGTGCATATTACCTCTGGTCAACTGAAAGGGTATAAGCAGAGCCACTGCTATGCGGGTGATTGAGTGGCGTCAAAGGGCAATCATTCAGCTGCTGCTGTGCCACATGTTCCATGCTACTCACACCCTTAACACTCCTCACCCCCCTCCTTCGCTGATTCGCTTTCACATTCCCATCTGCATTCTCTACTTATCCCTCACCATGCTTCCGTATTACTACCATAGGATAGTAGGAGCATGAGATCTCATATGAGACCTCTCACTGATTCACCTTCCCTTCTGCATTCTGCTGTTACCCCTTACCGTGCTCCCATTCCACTACCATAGGATACTCCCATTCCACTTCCATTACCATAGGAGCATGAGCTCTCATCAGGGCATCCGCAGCAAGAAGATTCAAATCTGGAGCATGAGCTCTGTGCCCCTCCCCCCCCCCCCTTCCTCCCTCCCCATCTCTTCACCCCCCTTCCTCTCCCCTCGTCTTTCCCCCCCAAACCCCCCCCACCCTCCCCTTGCAAGTCCACCAAGTCCTTGCTGTGCGTCCACCAAGTCCTTGCTGCCTCCCCGTCACTCCCCGCCTTTCATTCATCAACTTTGCCAAACAGGGTGGCAACGGATCAAGCTAGGGGATTGTTGGTTGCATGTCTGCTTCCGTTCCTCACATCAACTTACCAATACCATACTACTACCCTAGGTGATATGCGAGTCACGAGCGGCCAGTCAACGAAAACAGGTGGTAGTAGTAAATGAATTAGACGTGAGGCACTCCGTAGGCAGGTACAGAACGGAGTGGGAAAAAAAAAACCATTCCTTGTCACAAGCTGCACTTTGAAGCATTTCAGGTGTTCGGAAAATTATCTAGATGCAGATCCAACCACACAAGAAACATTCTCCCATCTATTTCACGAAAGAACCCGAAAATAATTAACATGACGAATGTTGCAAGCGCTGTAACCTATATTGCACCTGCCAATGTGCAGGAGGGTTGTTGCAGCTGCCCTTTCGCGCTGACTGACGCGATTTTGCCTTGCATTCGCGCTGACTCACGCGTTTGAATCCCGTCGCACATTTTCAACGCACGGTCGATGAATTTGCTCACCTCGAACCTCCACAATTGGTCTGGCTTGTTCCGAACCTCACACATGGCAATTTCCACACACAAACCTCAAGCCCAGACCTCCGCGGCTTTGACTCCAGTCTACGTGTTTTGACTATCCAATAAATAGCCGTCGAGTCCCTCCATTTCACTCACCAACTCCCATTTCATTCTCCACTTTCTTCACCCAAGCTTCGTTTCCTGGTCAGTGCGACCCGTTCAGCAGGAAAACTTTCGCCACTTCGTAGATCGCAGCTCGACACAGATCCAGCCATGGCAGCAGTCAGAGCGTTTGTCGTTGCGTGCGTGCTCCTCCTCGTGTCGACGTCTTCCTTGGCGCAGCGTGGTCCGCCTGGCGGAGGTCCTCCCGGTGGTCAGCGACCGGGGGGCGCAAGCGGAGGCCCGGGCGCCAGTTCCGGCGGTCAGCGCGGAGGTCCTGGCGCCGGTTCTGGCGGACCCGGCGGGCCCGGCGGTCCCGGCGGTCCCGGCGGGCCTGACGGAAAGCCGCCACGCGGTCCTCCGCTGAACCTGACGGCCGTCGGGAATCTGACGGCCGGCATCGGCGCGCAACTCGCCAATTGCACAACGGACCAGGCGATCCTTAACGGTAGCTTCCACCTCGCCGTTTTCAAGAACTCCAGCGGAAATTACAACCTTCTGGTCGAAGCCCTTCTTGTCGACGCGGCGGGCAGTCCGCCCGACTCGCTGGCGATCGTAAAGGGCGCCGTGTGCGACGCCGCCGCGACGGACGTGCTCGCGCTGCCGCTCGCCGCGGCGGACTGGCAGCAGCGCGCGGGGTGGTGGCTGCTGCACGCGGAGGCGCGCCTCGACGCGTTCCTCGAGAACGCGGACGCCGCCACCCTCGACGCGCTGCTCGCCGTGCTCCCCACCGCCTCGCCTCCGCCCACCAGCGGCAGCGGCAGGCGCAACGGCGGAGGCAGCAGCGCCGGCGGGGGCAGCGCGGGGGGCGCGCGGAACGGGCAGGGCGGGAGGCGCATGGGGCGGGAGCTGCTGATGCGCGCATTCGGGCGCGCGGCCAGGCAGGGGGAACAGAAGCAGGGGGGGCAGAAGCAGGGAGGCCAGCAGCAGGGGGGAGCGCAGCAGGCGCCTGCAGTGAGCGGGTATGCTGTGCTGGCGAGCAGCAGCGCTGCAGGTGTGACGTGGGGCGGGCAGCTCATGGGCGCCAAGACGCCCGCCGCTGCTGTTTAATGCCCCCCCTGCGCTGCTGCTGCTGCTGCCGTTGGTGGTGCTTGAACTCATCCGATGCAGGCTTTGATTGCTGCTGCTTTAGGGATCACTGCATTGAGGACGGCTGTGAGGTCAGCTTGGTACTTCCATGGTGGACAAGCACCTGCAGGGTGTGATGGGCTTCAGGGCTTTCATCAATGTGTGTGTCTGGACTGGATGGCTTTGCTTAGACTCTCTTGGAGTAGCTGTATTAGGTCAAAGCATCAGGGGCAGGAATGCTGGCAAGGTTTCAGAAGGCACCAGCTGGCTTGCCAGTCTTCCTACCCTTGATTGTTCTTGTGATGTGAGGTCATTTCTTGTGTTGATGTATTTGTGTGCTTGTAGAGTCAAGTCAGCGTTTTTATTCTGACAGGTTTTGGGAAGCTGATGATCCACAAAGTTTTAGGGCAACAAATTTCTCTGGCTATGAACTACACTTCGAATAATGAACAATGACTATCTGTAACCAAACTGAATGTGGTGCTACTGTACCGCATTGGCCGCAGTGACTGGACGCTTTTAGGTCGCGTCGCGCTAACTTCGGGAAGCTCGGATCCTCTGACCTCGAGTGCGCCGTTTTTTCGCACCCAAACTTTCCGTTTTCCTCACTTGCCGTCAGTTTCAGGCCTCGTTTAGAAGGTATGCAGCATTCACGAGATAGAACCTAGTGCTTAGGACGTCACTAGCAATCCGATATTAGGACTAATCAGGTCTCGATTTTGCGATTCCAGCAATGGCGATTATAAGTTTGTAGGTACCGCCATATTCGTCTGCTTGACCCCGGCCCTCCATGGCTTACTCATTTATTCGATCAGCGTATAGCGGAAAGATCGTTGTAGGATAAGTGCTGCAGGTGATGGCGCCAGTGTAAAATAAGCGGGGAGCGCGAATGTCGCGGTTGGGGGAAGCGGAAGCGAATGGGGAGGGGGAGCAGCTATTGGCGGAGAGATGGCGGGCGGCGGAGGGTTCCGCGGGGAAGACTGGCGGAACTGGGGGAGGGGACGCATTTAGCGGCGACGAAGCGGTATCGCGAATGATGGCATCGGTGTACAGCGGTGACATGGCTAGCCGAGAGACGGATAGTCTTCTGGAGAAAGGAGGCTATAACGGGTCGAGCAATTTAGAGTACGGGGACGGGCAGGAGATTGTAACGGGGGGAAGCAGAATTGCGCGGATAAAGGAGGGGAAGCTGCCAGCAATGGGCGCAGAGAAGGGCGTGCCACGTGGCGTGGTGATATTGGTTGTCGTATTTCTGGACCTGTTTGCAGTGGGCATGGCCATGCCGCTCGTCACGCCACTAATTAAAGAGCTAGGTAAGCTAATTTGATTCAGATTCAAGGGTTCATCTGCAGGCAGAAGCTATTTAATAGCCTCTCGAATATGTCAGAGAATTTATGAACGATCCAACGTTCGCCAATTAAAGTTCCATCGTTTCCAGGCCAACAAACCAAGGTTCGCTCTTCTCTTGCATTTACTGCCCCTCCCGCCCCTCCAACTGCCCCTTCCCCCTCCTGCCCCTTCTCCTTTCCACACTCCCCCCCTCGTCCCCCCCCTCGTCCTCCCCCTCCCCCCTGCTCCCTGGTCTTCCCGTACCTCATGCACTGAACCCTCTATCCGCGTTAGGAGCGTCCCCTTTACAGGTTGGCTTCCTCTCGTCCACATACGGCGCTGTGCAACTCGTTACTGGGCCATTCTTTGTAAGCCATCCTCACTTGCTTTCTCATAGTCTCCTCTCGCCCTGAATAGAGAGCACTTTTTCGAAATTCCACGTTGGGATGCTCTCGACAATTGCTGGTGGTTGTATGTGGCAAAACATAAAAACACCTATCGCCCTCTTTTCCCTCTCCCTCTCTCCTGGCCTCTCCGCGTTTCCTCTCAGGGTCTGCTGAGTGACAGCATGGGCAGGCGGGTTGTGATTCTGGTGTCGTATGCTGGCGCAGGGGCGAGCTACCTGCTGCTGGGGCAGAGCAGCACTGTGACGGTGAGAGAAACGTGACGCAGCATGTGACGAGTTTGAAGTGAATAGGAGTTTCATTTCTCCTTGTTGTGTGCATGCCTTATTCCATCGAGATGAGATGGTGGTGATCTCCCGTGTGCTACTGGGCATCACCAAGCACAGCATGAACGCAGTCAAGGCGCATGTGGCCTCCCTCCCTGCAACCCCCTTCCCTCCCCATGCCTTCCCCTCCCTCCTTCCCCATGCGTTTAGATGGTGGTGATCTCCCGTGTGCTACTGGGCATCACCAAGCACAGCATGAACGCAGTCAAGGCATATGTGGCGGATCACACCACAGCCGGCAACAGAGCCGTGGAGCTGGGCAGGTGAGACCATGCCATCCATCCCATGGATGCGGTTCTTCCCTTCCCTTGAGATGACCGTCAAACCGCATGCACCAAGCTAGCACTGCAAGAACGCAGAGAAGGCGGAGGTGGCAGATCACACCACATCCGGCAACAGAGCTGTGGAACTCGGCAGGTGAGGCCATGCCATCCCATTGTTGCGGTTCCTCCCTTCGACAGTCAAGCAACAAACCAACAAGCAACAAGCAACAAGCAACAAGCAACAAGCACCAAGCTAGCACAGCATGAACGCAGAGAAGGCGTAGGTGGCTGATCACACCACAGCCAGTAACCGTGAAGCCGTGAAGCTCGGCAGGTGAGGCACCTGCTTGCTGGGGTCATGCCATGCCACGCCATGCGATGCAATGCCATGCCATGCAATGCAATTCCATGCTGTGCAATGCCATGCCATGCCATGCCATGCCATGCCATGCCATGCCATGCCATGCAATGCCATGCAGTGCCATGCAATGCCATGCCATGCCATGTCATGCCATGCCATGCCATGCCATGCCATGCCATGCCATGCAATGCCATGCCATGCCATGCCATGCAATGCCATGCCATGCCATGCCATGCCATGCAATGCCATGCCATGCCATGCCGCGCCAAGCCGTGTTGTGGATGCAACTCTCACAGTTGAGGTGGGGGTGGTATGCTAACTGAATTTTGCAGCCGGGAGGCTGGGGGGCATGGGCGTGGCATGGATAGGCGCATGGGCATGGGCATGGGCATGGGCATGGGCATGGGAATGGGCATGGGCATGGGCATGGGCTTGGGCAAGGGAATGGGTATGGGTATGGGCATGGGCATGCTTATGGGCATACATACACGGCTACTCCTATATGGTTGTTAGAGTCCATTCCCTAGGTGCCTTTCCACCACCCTAGCTGCTCTCCCACAGGATGTTGATTTTACTTTTGAGAAAACTCAAAAGTAAAAGTCGACCCCCTTGGCGCCTTTCCACCTCCCTTGCTGCTCTCCCACAGGATGTTGATTTTACTTTTGAGAAAACTCAAAAGTAAAAGTCGACCCCTTGGCGCCTTTCCACCTCCCTTGCTGCTCTCCCACAGGATGTTGATTTTACTTTTGAGAAAACTCAAAAGTAAAAGTCGACCCCCTTGGCGCCTTTCCACCTCCCTTGCTGCTCTCCCACAGGATGGCAACAGCATCAGCTCTGGGCATTATGGTCGGCCCTGCAGTGGGCGGCATGCTATTTAAAGTAGGTCTTACTAAATTGAGCTGTTACTCGTGTTTGTGAGCAACTCGTCTCTGTGTTCCTCGTCCTTCTCTCTCGAATGGTCTGAAGCTCCCCTTTCATTCCTCGTTTCTCCTCCTCCCCTCCCTCCCTCCCGCCTTCTCATCTCCTCCTCCCTCCCCCAACCCTCTCCTCCCTTGCATCCCCTTGCTCCTCCCTTGCATCCCCTTGCTCCTCCCTTGCATCCCCTTGCTCCTCCCTTGCATCCCCTTGCTCCTCCCTTGCATCCCCTTGCTCCTCCCTTGCATCCCCTTGCTCCTCCCTTGCATCCCCTTGCTCCTCCTTGCATCCCCTTGCTCCTCCCTTGCATCCCCTTGCTCCTCCCTTGCATCCCCTTGCTCCTCCCTTGCATCCCCTTGCTCCTCCCTTGCATCCCCTTGCTCCTCCCTTGCATCCCCTTGCTCCTCCTTGCATCCCCTTGCTCCTCCCTTGCATCCCCTTGCTCCTCCCTTGCATCCCCTTGCTCCTCCCTTGCATCCCCTTGCTCCTCCCTTGCATCCCCTTGCTCCTCCCTTGCATCCCCTTGCTCCTCCCTTGCATCCCCTTGCTCCTCCCTTGCATCCCCTTGCTCCTCCCTTGCATCCCCTTGCTCCTCCTTGCATCCCCTTGCTCCTCCCTTGCATCCCCTTGCTCCTCCCTTGCATCCCCTTGCTCCTCCCTTGCATCCCCTTGCTCCTCCTTGCATCCCCTTGCTCCTCCCTTGCATCCCCTTGCTCCTCCCTTGCATCCCCTTGCTCCTCCCTTGCATCCCCTTGCTCCTCCCTTGCATCCCCTTGCTCCTCCCTTGCATCCCCTTGCTCCTCCCTTGCATCCCCTTGCTCCTCCCTTGCATCCCCTTGCTCCTCCCTTGCATCCCCTTGCTCCTCCTTGCATCCCCTTGCTCCTCCTTGCATCTCCTTGCTCCTCCCACAGGCAGGCAATTATCCCCTCCCAACAGCAGCAGCAGCGCTTCTCTACGCTATAAACTCCTTCATTACTGTCACGCAGCTGCAAGCACAAAAACCCTCTGCCGAATCTACACCACATGCGTCCAAGAGAACAGCACGGGTTCTCTCAATGCGAGGACTCCTTCCTAATGTACACCTCTCTATCCCACCGCTCTTGTTTCCTTCTCTTGTTTCTCTCCTCTTGTTTCTCTCCGCTTGTTTCTCTCCTCTTGTTTCTCTCCGCTTGTTCCCAGCCTCCTGTTGCTCTCCTCCCATTTACCTCCCCCCATTGCTCCCTTCTCATTGTTATCCTTCTCTTCTCCGACGGCACATGCATCCTCTTTTGGCCGCCCCGCCGACTTCTCCTCTGCTTTCCATTCCACCTACTCTTTCAACCTCCTCTCCTCCCTGTGCTTCTCTCACAAGATTTCTCTCCTTTCAGCATGTGTGTGCATGGATGGGATGGAATGCGGCACCTCACGCACAAGTCGAAGCAACGCATCTCGTGACATGCATTCCACAACCTCGTGACATGCATTCCACAACCTCGTGACGTGAAACTCGGCACGGTCAAGAAATGCGTTGAGAGGTTACCCCTAGTATGCGTTGTTGAGGTTTCCCCAATCGTCCCTCCCTCCCTCGTCCTTCAGGTGGCCATATTGACTCACCCCAAATAGCAGCGCTAATGGCAGTGCAGGGTCTGGCAGTGCATCACTTTTAAAATGCAGTGAAGGGGCGTTGACACCCATCATCCTTCCCCTTGCCCCTCCTGTCCTCCCATTCGCCCTTCCTTCCCTTTCCTCCCAGGTGGCCATATTGACTCGCCCCCGTGTAGCAGCGCTGATGGTAGTGCGCGCAGTGCTGGGACTCGCGGTGCATCTCTTCCGCCAGGGCTTCTCACTGCTCCTCATCTACCGCCTCAACCTGCCCGTGCACACTAATGGGCTGCTGCTCTCATTGCAGGTGAGCGGTGGTGAGTGTTGGTGAGTGGTGGTGAGTGGTGGTGAGTGGTGGTGAGTGGTGGTGGTGAGCGGTGGTGAGTGGCAAATGGTGGTTCTTCTGTGGGTCTGGCGCTCCATCTGTTCTTCTCGCTGCTCCTCATCTACCGCCGCAACCTCCCCGTGCACACCAACGGGCTGCTTCTTCATTGCAGGTGAGTGGTGGTGAGTGGTGGTGAGTGGTGGTGAGTGGTGGTGAGTGGTGGTGAGCAGTGGTGAGTCGTGGTGAGCGGTGGTGAGTCGTGGTGAGTGGTGTTATGGGGGTGTGAGTGGCTAATGGTTAGTATCTTGTACCCACCTCCCGTCCCTCTTCACATCCCACATCACTTAATACGCCTCCCTTTTTTCACATGTCCCCCCCCAGGGTCTCCTCACATCACTAGTACAGGGACTGGCCATCCGCCCTTAGCTGCTCTGCTCGTAAGGCACCTTACTCCCCATGCATGTCACATGTCCCTCCCTCAGGGTCTCCTCACATCGCTGGTACAGGGCCTGGCCATCCGCCCTTTGCTGCACTGAAGGCACCTTATTCCACTCTTAACCCATTAATTTTGGGGATGCTTTCCTTTTTACCCTTGTCCCCCCTCAGGGTCTCCTCACATCATTAGTACAGGGCCTGGCCATCCGCCCGTTGCTGCGCCGCTTCCCAGAAACGCCTCTCATCTTCCGCGGCCTCCTGCTGCTCTCCCTCACCCTCGCACTGCTTGCTGCTGCTCCCAGCCTCGTAAGCCATTCCCCTTTGTGCCATGCTTGATGCATGTACCTCTTGTAAGCCGTGCCATGCTTGATGCATGTACCTCTTGTAAGCCGTGCCATGCTTGATGCATGTACCTCTTGTAAGCCGTGCCATGCTTGATGCATGTACTTGTAAGCCGTGCCATGCTTGATGCATGTACCTCTTGTAAGCCGTGCCATGCCTGATGCATGTACCTCTTGTAAGCCGTGCCATGCCTGATGCATGTACCTCTTGTAAGCCGTGCCATGCCTGATGCATGTACCTCTTGTAAGCCGTGCCATGCTTGATGCATGTACCTCTTGTAAGCCGTGCCATGCCTGATGCATGTACCTCTTGTAAGCCGTGCCATGCCTGATGCATGTACCTCTTGTAAGCCGTGCCATGCCTGATGCATGTACCTCTTGTAAGCCGTGCCATGCCTGATGCATGTACCTCTTGTAAGCCGTGCCATGCCTGATGCATGTACCTCTTGTAAGCCGTGCCATGCCTGATGCATGTACCTCTTGTAAGCCGTGCCATGCTTGATGCATGTACCTCTTGTAAGCCGTGCCATGCCTGATGCATGTACCTCTTGTAAGCCGTGCCATGCCTGATGCATGTACCTCTTGTAAGCCGTGCCATGCCTGATGCATATACCTCTTGTAAGCCGTGCCATGCCTGATGCATGTACCTCTTGTAAGCCGTGCCATGCCTGATGCATGTACCTCTTGTAAGCCGTGCCATGCCTGATGCATGTACCTCTTGTAAGCCGTGCCATGCCTGATGCATGTACCTCTTGTAAGCCGTGCCATGCTTGATGCATGTACCTCTTGTAAGCCGTGCCATGCTTGATGCATGTACCTCTTGTAAGCCGTGCCATGCCTGATGCATGTACCTCTTGTAAGCCGTGCCATGCTTGATGCATGTACCTCTTGTAAGCCGTGCCATGCTTGATGCATGTACCTCTTGTAAGCCGTGCCATGCTTGATGCATGTACCTCTTGTAAGCCGTGCCATGCTTGATGCATGTACCTCTTGTAAGCCGTGCCATGCTTGATGCATGTACCTCTTGTAAACCGTGCCATGCTTGATGCATGTACCTCTTGTAAGCCGTGCCATGCTTGATGCATGTACCTCTTGTAAGCCGTGCCATGCTTGATGCATGTACCTCTTGTAAGCCGTGCCATGCTTGATGCATGTACCTCTTGTAAGCCGTGCCATGCTTGATGCATGTACCTCTTGTAAGCCGTGCCATGCCTGATGCATGTACCTCTTGTAAGCCGTGCCATGCTTGATGCATGTACCTCTTGTAAGCCGTGCCATGCCTGATGCATGTACCTCTTGTAAGCCGTGCCATGCCTGATGCATGTACCTCTTGTAAGCCGTGCCATGCTTGATGCATGTACCTCTTGTAAGCCGTGCCATGCTTGATGCATGTACCTCTTGTAAGCCGTGCCATGCCTGATGCATGTACCTCTTGTAAGCCGTGCCATGCTTGATGCATGTACCTCTTGTAAGCCGTGCCATGCTTGATGCATGTACCTCTTGTAAGCCGTGCCATGCTTGATGCATGTACCTCTTGTAAGCCGTGCCATGCTTGATGCATGTACCTCTTGTAAGCCGTGCCATGCTTGATGCATGTATCTCTTGTAAGCCGTGCCATGCTTGATGCATGTACCTCTTGTAAGCCGTGCCATGCTTGATGCATGTACCTCTTGTAAGCCATGCCATGCTTGATGCATGTACCTCTTGTAAGCCGTGCCCTGCTTGATGCATGTACCTCTTGTAAGCCGTGCCATGCTTGATGCATGTACCTCTTGTAAGCCGTGCCATGCCTGATGCATGTACCTCTTGTAAGCCGTGCCATGCTTGATGCATGTACCTCTTGTAAGCCGTGCCATGCCTGATGCATGTACCTCTTGTAAGCCGTGCCATGCTTGATGCATGTACCTCTTGTAAGCCGTGCCATGCCTGATGCATGTACCTCTTGTAAGCCGTGCCATGCTTGATGCATGTACCTCTTGTAAGCCGTGCCATGCTTGATGCATGTACCTCTTGTAAGCCGTGCCATGCTTGATGCATGTACCTCTTGTAAGCCTTGCCATGCTTGATGCATGTACCTCTTGTAAGCCGTACCATGCTTGATGCATGTACCTCTTGTAAGCCGTGCCATGCTTGATGCATGTACCTCTTGTAAGCCGTGCCATGCTTGATGCATGTACCTCTTGTAAGCCGTGCCATGCTTGATGCATGTACCTCTTGTAAGCCGTGCCACGCTTGATGCATGTACCTCTTGTAAGCCGTGCCATGCTTGATGCATGTACCTCTTGTAAGCCGTGCCATGCTTGATGCATGTACCTCTTGTAAGCCGTGCCATGCTTGATGCATGTACCTCTTGTAAGCCGTGCCATGCTTGATGCATGTACCTCTTGTAAGCCGTGCCATGCTTGATGCATGTACCTCTTGTAAGCCGTGCCATGCTTGATGCATGTACCTCTTGTAAGCCGTGCCATGCTTGATGCATGTACCTCTTGTAAGCCGTGCCATGCTTGATGCATGTACCTCTTGTAAGCCGTGCCATGCTTGATGCATGTACCTCTTGTAAGCCGTGCCATGCTTGATGCATGTACCTCTTGTAAGCCGTGCCTTGCTTGATGCATGTACCTCTTGTAAGCCGTGCCATGCTTGATGCATGTACCTCTTGTAAGCCATGCCATGCTTGATGCATGTACCTCTTGTAAGCCGTGCCATGCTTGATGCATGTACCTCTTCTTCTGTCTCACTTGCTACTGCACCCAGCCTTCTCCTTCTGCCATGCCATCTGTCTGACCCTCTGCCTCTCCTTCTCCCTCTCCTTCTCCCTCTCCTTCTCCCTCTCCTTCTCCCTCTCCCTCTCCTTCTCCCTCTCCCTCTCCCTCTCCCTCTCCCTCTCCCTCTCCCTCTCCCTCTCCTTCTCCCTCTCCCTCTCCCTTTCCAACCTAGCATCGCCTCACCAAGGAGGTGCTTTTTCATTTATCCACTTACTCTCTGCCCAACCTTACTCTCTGTCCAACCTCACTCTGTCCAACCTCACTCTCTGCCCAACCTCACTCTCTGTCCAACCTCACTCTCTGTCCAACCTCACTCTCTGTCCAACCTCACTCTCTGTTTGTCAAGGGTCCAGCCGTCTCCATTAAACCACCCACTCTTCACCATCTGTTTGTCTTATTCTCACCATCTGTTTGTCTTATTCTCACCATCTGTTTGTCTTATTCTCACCATCTGTTTGTCTTATTCTCACCATCTGTTTGTCTTATTCTCACCATCTGTTTGTCTTTTCTCACCATCTGTTTGTATTATTCTTTCGCTCCGGAATCCCCTGTCCCCCAGTCTTTGACCCATTGACTCCCGTATATATATGTCTTCGAGCGACTGAAGAAGCACGTCCTTATGTTTGTATTTGACTTCTTCTTCCACTCCCGTGCCCCGCCCCTCTTTTTGAGGCGCCTAAAAAATCGAAGCACGTCCTTATGTTTGTGTTTGACTTCTTCCGCTCCCGTGCCCGCCCCTCAGTCTTTCCTGGTCCTACTACTGCCCCCTCTCGCCCTCTCAACCGGTGTTCTGCGCACCACATACACGGCCCTCCTCACTACTTCTGTCGCTCAGAGTGAGGTAACCCTCTTCCCCTGTTTCTCACGCTGTGTGAGGTAACCCTCTTCCCCTGTTTCTCACGCTGTGTGAGGTAACCCTCTTCCCCTGTTTCTCACGCTGTGTGAGGTAACCCTCTTCCCCTGTTTCTCACGCTGTGTGAGGTAACCCTCTTCCCCTGTTTCTCACGCTGTGTGAGGTAACCCTCTTCCCCTGTTTCTCACGCTGTGTGAGGTAACCCTCTTCCCCTGTTTCTCACTCTGTGTGAGGTAACTAAGCGTGTTTAGCTTCCAAGTGCTGGTGGCTCTTCGAGATGGCAGGCACCATGCTCTCTCGGCTTCACTTTCTCTTCTCCACTTCTCTACAATCATCACTTATTGGGAAGCCAAATGGTTTAACATGTGGAGTGCTCGGCCCCTCGTTAAGGTGAGTCAGCTGCTGGGTACATCAGTTGCTTTCTTGCCGGCCTGCCAAATGCTCAGTTTCTCTTCAACATGACACTATATTCTCTCGTCCCTCTTGCCTGTTCCGTGCCTGTATCCCTCTCCCTCTTCTCTTGCTTTCTCCTGCTACTACCAGGTGGGACAGCTGCTGGGCCTATCGGATGCCATCATGTCAGCCTGCCGGGTGCTGGGTCCCTCTGCTGCCGGCCTCCTCTCATCCGAATTCGGCTACCATGCGCCAGTTGCTGTCAGGTAAGCTTGATGAAGAAGCTTCTTCAGTCACTTCTTTCACGTCCCCAGTCGCTCTTTAAGCCAAAGACGTGCCCTTTTCAGGTGCATCACACATTGACCTATTACATCCCTGTTGCTTTCTCAGAACCCAGTGGTCTGTCATGCTCCTTTGAAACCGGTTGTTTATATGTGCAAGCAGACGACACGTTGCATCCAGCATGACACCAATGACTGACATGCTTGTGGGGTTGGTACCATGATGCCAAGCTCTACATACGGTAGTTGAGCTTTATGTGTAGTGGACTCACCTCTGCTGCAAATTCTTTGCACCTTGCCCACCTTTGACCCTCTGGTCTCCCCCTTTCCCTCCATCTGCTCCTTGGCAGTGCAGTCATCGCTGCACCTCACTTTACGTTTTTTTGCCTCATGTTGATTCCTGTGCAGCTCATGTTGATTCCTGTGCAGCTCATGTTGATTCCTGTGCAGCTCATGTTGATTCCTGTGCAGCTCATGTTGATTCCTGTGCAGCTCATGTTGATTCCTGTGCCTCCCATTTGTCCTTTGTCTGTGTACCCTTGGCAGCGCTGCTGTTGCCGCAATTGCAGCTCTCCTCTTCCACCTGCTTGTGTTGCGGCGCCACCAACCTGCCTCTGTTGCTACAGGAATCTTGTCTAAGGGACATTTGGCCTGATTGCCTCAACCATTCCTTCGTTGCGCTACCATTGCTGCCAGCCTGCCAGTACAGTGCAGCTCTCCGCTTTCGCATGCCTCTGCTGCCACAGGAATCTTGTCCAAAGGACAGTTGGCTTGATTGTCGGAGGTAATTTGTTACGGTATATAGGTAGTATGAAGTCCTCGGTTATTTATCTGTCCAAAGTGTTGCTTAAGAACTACCGGTATTCATCTCATACCCTACTTCAGGTTGGGCTGTTGAAACTTGCAACAAAACATGTCTCACAAGGGGAAACAGAGGATACTCTCAAACATATATGCTGCTTATTGTGTAGGCTGTAGTGGGGTAGCCCATATGGGGTACAACCCAGATTAGGGTTTCCTACTTGTACCCATCATGCTGCTAGTTCATTCATTCCTGCCTGTACTTTCTGACATGGGATCAGAGCAGTAGGTCTGTAGGACCGTTTTTTTTCGGGCCCACCTACCGTTGTGGTTACTGAGCTGCCCCACGTGTTGCCTGCGCTGCGCCGCCCGCGCGCGCCTTGCCGTGCCTGCGCTGCGCTGCCCGCGCACATCTTGCCTTGCCTGCGCTGCGCTGCCCGCGCGCGCCTTGCCTTGCCTGCACCTTGCCTTGCCTTGCCTTGCCTGCGCTGCGCCGCCCGCGCGCACGCCCTGCCCTGCCCCGCGTTGCGCTGCCCCGCGCACGCCGTGCCCTGCCCCGCGTTGCGCTGCCCCGCGCACGCTCTGCTCTGCCTGGCGTCGCGCGCCCCTGCAGCCCGTCGCGTCGCCCGTCTGCCCTGCCTCTGCCCGTCGCGTCGCCCGTACGGGCTGTCCCAGCCCGTCGCGTCGCCCGTACGGGCTGTCCCAGCCCGTCGCGTCGCCCGTCCGCCCTGCCTGCCTGTCGCGTCGCCCGTACGGGCTGTCCCAGCCCGTCGCGTCGCCCGTACGGGCTGCCTGCCCGTCGCGTCGCCTGTACGGGCTGTCCCAGCCCGTCGCGTCGCCCGTACGGGCTGCCTGCCCGTCGCGTCGCCCGTCCGCCTTGCAGCCCGCGCGTCGCGCCTCTGCTGCCCCGCGCGTCGCGCCCTACGGCAGCCCGCGCGCCGCGCTCTGCAGCCCTGCGCGTTGCGCTCTGCTGCAGCCCGCGCGTCGCGCCCTGCTGCCCTGCACGAAGCGCGCCCTGCTGCTCGCGCCGCCCAGGCCGAGCCGAGCCGCCCTACCCGACCCGATCCGCCCTCCTGCTCGTGCTACTACTGCTGCTGGTGGAGGTGCTGCTAGGAGTGCTGGAGGTGCTACAGCCTAGCCTCACCGGGCCGCTCTACTGCTCTTACTGCTGTTGCTGCTGCTCGTGCTGCTGTCTTCCCTCCGTACCGCCCTCCTCCTCGCACGCCTCCTTGCTTACCCGCTATGACTTCCCTTCGTAGTAGCGGTGGGAGTGGTGGCGGCGGCGGTGGCGGCAGTGGGAGTGGTGGCGGCGACCATAGTTGCAATTGCGGTGGAGCTGTTCAGTGCGGAGTTTCTGGCGGTGGCGAGATCCAGCTGCAGCGGCGTCCGAGCGAGACCCTTCCACCCCAGCAGCTTCATGCGTGGTACGCTCAGCGTTGTGCGTCTCGGAGAGGTGGCGGCGGCCGTAGTAGCAGTCGTGGTGGAGCTGGTCAGTGCGGAGTCTCTGGCGGTGGCCAGATGCAGCTGCAGAGGCGCTCGCGCGAGACCCTTACTCCCCGGCAGCTGCATGAGTGGTACGCTCAGAGTTGGGGGTGTAGGACTACTGCTCGCTGCCCGTACGTTATTCGCACAGGTGATCGAGCTGGTCAGACTTGCGGGACAGTTAGTCATACAGAGTCCCGCTGCTTCTCCCGTCTGAGCGACGCTTGGCGAGCACGGTTTGGCGACGAGACTGAGCTACCCCTCTGGCTAGAGCTGCTTCAGGACGGAGTAGATATATTTGCCTTAGACTATGACACTATCCTTACTGCCATGTATGTTTTGACTGGTACTTCTGAGGGTGACTGTTACCTGTGTGTGCCCCCTGACCCTGGTATAGCGGCTGCTGCTCTAGGTGCTAGTGAGTCTGCTCTCTCTGGTACTGCACCTGCTGAGGCCTTGCACACCTTTACACTTGACTCTGGTGCTTCCCGCTGTTTCTTTCGCGACAGTACCACGGTCACCCCCCTTCCTGGGCCTGTCCCTGTCTCACTGGCTGACCCCTCTGGGGGCCCAGTACTTGCTCGTTCCTCCACTGTGCTCCCGTGTCCGGCGGTCCCGTCCGGTGAGCTGTCTGGTCTCCACATCCCCACGTTCTCTACGAACCCGGTGAGCAACGCCGTCCTTCAAGATCACTGGGTTGACACCTGGACTCCTGGAGGACAGCGTGTGGCGATCTGCACGTGCTCCAGGACTGGCCGCCACCTGGCCACGTTCACTCGTGAGCCCGGGTCCAGTCTGTACACCCTCACCACTGTTTCACGCTACACCCCTTTGTCTCCACAGCTGTACGCGTCCACTCAGGTAGCTATCCAGTGTGAGTGTCGCCGCCTGTCGCACGACACTCTCCTGTGGCACCACCGCCTTGGTCACCCCTCCCTGCCCCGCCTTCGTAGCATGCACTCTCGCCTACTTGTCTCTGGTCTTCCCAGGTCTCTGCCTGCCCTCCCTCCCTCGCCTGCGCCGCCCTGCATTCCTTGCGTCGAGGGACGGCAGCGCGCCGCTCCTCACTCCTCCTCGTTTCCTCCCACAGAGGCTCCACTGCAGACGCTCCACCTGGACGTGTGGGGCCCAACCCGCGTCCAGGGACAGGGCCGCGAGCGGTACTTCCTGCTGGTTGTCGACGACTACATGCGTTACACCACGGTCTTCCCCTTGCGCAGCAAGGGGGACGTCCCTGCTGTTTTGATCCCCTAGATCCGCGCTGTTCGTCTCCAGCTCCGCGAGCGGTTCCAGTCGGACTTTCCCGTCCTGCGTCTGCACTCTGACAGAGGTGGTGAGTTCACCTCCGACCTCTTGCGAGCCTTCTGTGAGGAGCACGGCATCACCCAGTCGTTCACGCTTCCGGCCTCTCCGCAGCAAAATGGGGTTGCTGAGCGCCGCATTGGCTTAATCATGGAGGTCGCTCGTACCTCCATGATCCATGCGGCGGCTCCCCATTTTCTGTGGCCGTTTGCGGTCCGGTACGCCGCGCATCAGCTCAACCTCTGGCCCCGTGTCTCCTTGTCGGAGACCTCGCCCACACTGCTGTGGACGGGGGAGGTTGGCGATGCGTCGCGTTTCCGGGTCTGGGGTGCTCGTGCCTTTGTCCGCGATCTCACCGCGGACAAGCTCTCTGCCCGCGCCATTCCCTGCGTCTTCCTTGGTTTTCCTCCTGACGCGCCTGGCTGGCAGTTTTACGACCCCGCCTCGCGCCGTGTCTTTGCGTCTCAGGATGTCACTTTTGACGAGTCCGTCCCCTTTTACCGTCTCTTTCCCTACCGCACTGCCCCTCGCCCCCCCCCCCCGCCGCTCTTTCTCGCTCCAGGTCCTTCCCAGGTAGACCCCCTCCCCGCGCCAGGTCCTGCTCCTTCAGGTGTTTCTCAGGTAGATCCTCCTGTGCCTGCGCCTGTTGAGGTCACTGGTGACTCAGGTCCTGCTGGGGGTAGTCCTGCTCGGGGTGCTGTCTCTGGGGGTGCTGAGCCTGGGGGTACGGAGCCCGAGCGAGAGGAGCCTGGGGGTGCTGAGCCTGGGGGTGCGGAGTCTGGGGGTGCTGTGCCTGAGCGTGAGGAGCCTGGAGGTGCTGAGCCTGGGGGTGCCGAGTCTGAGGGTGCTGAGCCTGCGTGTGAGGGGCCTGAGGGTGCTGAGCCTGGAGGTACTGAGCCTGAGCGTGAGGAGCCTGGGGGTGCTGAGTCTGGGGGTGCGGCGCCTGAGGGTACTGCGACTGCTGGTGCGCGGTCTCCTTGGAGTGGCCGCCTTCGTCCGGATACGCCTCTCACCTCACATCAGCTGCACGAGTGGTACGGTCGCCGTCAGGGTCGCGCTGCTGGGGCTCGGGGCTCTACTGCTGGAGGTACTTCTGCTGACGTCACTGGAGCTGGGAGTGGTGCTGGTTCTTTGCCTGCTGGAGGTGCTGAGCTTGTGCGTGCGGAGACTGGAGGTGCTGTGCCTGGGGGTGTAGTGTCCGGGGGTGCTGAGCCTGAGAGTGCTAAGTCTAGGGGTGAGGCGCCTGCGGGTACTGAGACTGCTGGTGCGCGGTCTCCTTGGAGTAGCCGCCTTCGTCCGCGTGCGCCTCTCTCCCCGCAGCAGCTGCACGAGTGGTACACTCGCCGTCAGGGTCGCGCTGCTGGAGCTCGGGGCTCTACCGCTGGAGGTGTTTCTGCTGTCGTCGCTGGAGCTGGGAGTGGTGCTGTGTCTACAGGAGGTGCTGGAGTCGCTGGTCCCGGAGGTGCTCGTACTGGAGGTACTGGAGCTGCTGGGGCTGGAGGTGCTGCGTCTGGGGGTGCTGCTGCTGGAGACACTGAGGCTGGAGACCCTAGGACTGGAGGTGTCGGTTCTGGGGGTGCTGCTGCTGGAGACACTGAGGCTGGCGACCCTAGGACTGGAGGTACTGGTTCTGGGGGTGCTGCTGCTGGTGGTGCTGGCGCTGGAGGTTCTGGAGCTGCTGGAGGTGCTGGAGCTACTGGAGGTGCTGGAGCCACTGGAGCTGCTGGAGCTGCCGGTGCGAGTGCAGCTGCGCCGACACGACTGTTCTTCGCTCCGCTGTCTCCGTCGTCTCTGCCGCCGCCTGACTCTGTTCTTCGTCAGGTTCTTACCCTTCCGTCGTCTACTGGTCTTCCGTTACTGCCTGGCTCACCGCTCCCTGCTCCTCCTCCTTACACTGAGCAGCCTGGTGGTCTTGCTGAGCGTCGTGAGCCTGCGTCGCGTCCTGTCTCGCCTGTTCGTCCTGGTCGTTCCGGTCGTCGTGTTCCTTGTTCGCGTCAGCCGGCTGTCCGCGGTACCCACCTCGTAGTCCGTCGTCTTTCCTCTGCTCCGCAGCCTGTTCCTCTGCCGTCT